TCCCCTTCTTTACTACCTTATTAGGCACTAAATTATGCTGGTTTGTTCTTTCTCTTATAGTTATCTCTTATTTTTCATTTTTGCCACCTTTATGCCAAGGTTAGACCTTTTTCACCTCACACATCAGTGAGTACAACTGCCATCTGGTAGATTTCTCTCATTCTGATGTATCTTAACATCTTTTACGTGCCATCGCCAGCACTAATCTATGCAAAAATACAATTATCACTTCTCTCCTAACCCAAAACCTTCTATTACCTCACATCCCACAAAATCAAGTATTAGGACCATTCAAGACACTACAGTGTGGGCCTAATCTACCAAACAACTTTATCTCTCATGTAAACTGGTTTCCAGCCAGGCAAGTTTTTGAGTGTCTGATGAATATAGCAGGTCCTTTCCCATTTATTTACAACTCTGCCCCCATATGAAATACCCTTCCTTGGCCTTTTTCACCCACCCTTAACTTGGCCACACTTTAAAGTCTATCTCAAGTTCCAACCTGGTGAATGAACCCTTTTTCCACCGCTCCAGTTCACCACCTTCATATCTGCCATTTTCAAACTGTTTTAAGTATCAGGATGTTTTGCAATGTTAAACAAATTTTTAGGACCCCAAAAAACTTCTGTTTATATGACTACATCCACAGATATTTATTTTATTAGAAATTAAAATTGAGAAATTTAGAAAACATTTGCTAGTTCATTTAAAAAAATAACAGTAACAAACCCACTAAATGTTAACATAAATGTCTTTTTACAAAAAGTAACTACATAAAATGAAACTGTTCTACACTTTTGAAAACCTCTTTATTATATAGCATAATAAAAGATAGCTAGATTTTCATAACTGCTTTTGCACTCACTCTCTTGTGATATCACATATAATTTAACCTCGGAAAAACTCCAGTGTACAATTGTGAGAGAATAAAAGTGAAAAAGAAACTGAATCATTATGAAACCATGAGAGTCATTATGATTCTATTACGAAAATAGACTGACTTTGCAGATACTTTGAAAGGGTTTTAGGACTCCCAGAAGTTCCCATATCACATTTTGAGAACTGCTGATCTACACAATTATTTTTATACTTGTCTTTCCTTAAGACTTCTCTGTAGCGTACCTGACAGCAAATAACACTGTAACCTTTTTCTATTTCCCCAACTGATATAAAGGTCCCCAAGGGCACAGTCTAAGTTATTCAAAAATGACATTAAGATAGATCTGTAAAATTGACCTCAAAAAGAAAGTCAAATGTGATCCAAAACACAGAAAGTAAAAAAGTCTAAGAAAATAATCATTCTTATGTATGTACTGAATGTTTTGTTAAATTAAGATTTTGGATAAACTGCATCTGGTAATGGCTCATACATATAAAATAAAACACTCCCCTCTTTGTGAAAACAAGAGATTTGTACAACTGTATCAGCAATGCTTCTTGCTATTACAAAAATACGCTAATCAAGTAAGAAAACTTTAGTAAAAACTTAAATTCTGCTCAACTTGTGGTAGAAGGATATACACATACTATCTCCCTTAAAATGTGACTCAGGAAGAAGCCAAGGACTGAAAAAAAATTTCATTAATCCATTTTTTAAAATCCATTTTTAAAGAATAAAGTCCATTAAGAGACTTACCTCTTACAGATATCAAAAATTTGTTTTTTTACTTTTGTCATGGGCCGAATTGTGTCCCCGAAAATTCATTTGTTAAAGCTCTAACCCCAGTACCTGAGACTGTAACAGTATTTGGAGATAAAGTAGTTAATTAAGGTAAAATGAGATTGTTTGGGTGGAGCCCTAATCTAATCAGAGCCATGTCCTGATTAGACGAGAAAGAGACACCAGGGATACACAAGCAAAGGGAAAAGACCATGAAGATGCGGCCAGATGGCAGCCATCTTCTAGCCAAGAAAGGCTTCAGTGTCAACCAACTGCCAACGCTTGATCTTGGGACTTCCAGGCTCCCGAACTATGAGTAAATAAATTTCTGTTGTTCACATCACTTAGTCAGCAGCAGTATTTTTTTATGACAGCTCTAGTGAAATAATAAAACTGCCCAGGTCCCTAAACAATCTAAGATGCTGGTTTTATGAAAATGATTAACACTCTATTATTATTTGTCAAATAATGGGAAGACAAGATCGTGATTAAAAAGAAGCATTAAATAGCAATCTATCCTAGGAGCTGTTGGAGTGTTTAAAGTAAATAAGTAAATAACTAAATGAATCCAATATTATCAAATAATTCACCTGCCCAGGCAGTCGTTTCCATTTTACTACCTCCTTTGAATCTTCTAATCCAGGTTCCGTCTCTACAGAACTTGACTCATGGTGTTGTTCACAATACAATGGTTTACCCTTTTCCTCCTGAAGAGTCATCATAGAACGATAAGATGGCTTTATCTAAGTATGTGTAGAAAATGAAAAAATTATATATCACGTTAATTTTTTTCTCTTTTCTAGCATATAAGGTTTTAATATTGAAACAAACAATATGCAAATATTTTCAAAATGTAATTCAGAAAGTATTCTACTTATATTTATACATTATTCTAAATAAAATGAAAGTTGCTTGAAATTATAGTCCTGTAACCAAAAAGCCTTATAAGTCAAGAGGAAAAAAAGAGAACTTTAATGGTAACATTAAATGGTTTTAATAACTCTGTTCCTTTGTTTCTGCTTCTTCACCAGTATCTACCAGATGTTGCGTCATGGCTCTGATATACTATGGTATCTCTAATTTTAATATCATAAAACTGATATCATAAAGATCTAAAGTTTCTAAATCTTCCATTTCTCAAAAACAGATTTAACTCCATTCAAATCAATGCAAATCAGCTCTGGTCACAGTTTATAATATCAATTATAGATCATGCAAAACTGACCTGAAATATAGCAAACAAGACAAAAGCAAAAGTTTCACCTCATTTTAGGACATATTCTTTGCTAAGATCATTCACAGTTTTAATCTATGGAAAACAGCAGTAGAAATATTATTTACTGATTATTTGAATAATACTGGCAATAAAGGCAAAATTGAATTGTTGTAACATAAACTATATGACTTGAAAAGCCTAAAATATTAACTATCTGATCCTTTATGGAAAATATTTGTCAACTCCCACTTTACATCATTCTTTTATCTTTAATTTTAAAAAATAAAAACAGTACTAATTAATAATTTTTTTCCTAACACTGAAATCTATATTTAGTACTTAAATGTCATGTAAGTATTTTTTAAGTAACAGCCATTACAGGCTTAATTACATAATTTCTGAAGGTAACTTTCTATTACAGAAATCTAGTAAAGTAATTCTAGAGTCCTTATCTTTTTAGGAATGAAAAACATGTCACCATTTAATCTCAACAACAGAGGACATAAATTTATATATGCTGTTAACTTACACATTCTGGAACTTTCAATCCTCTTACAGTTACATACAACGTTGATGGATAACGATTTCTTGGACATTTTGACCACCATTCAAAAACCTCAATGACATTTAACTGTGATCGAGACTTAGCAGGTGGGTAATACAGCTGCAAGCGAAGTTTTGAATTGATGTTTACATTTCCATTGGCTCCTAGAAGCTTAAAATAAGAATTCAAATAAAATTTTATCTTCATTGAAAATAAGTATATCCGATAAAGCAATAGTATACAGTCAAAAACTCATCTAGAAAACATTAATATGGCATGATGAAATTCCTTAGATTTATAGAGCAAAGAACACTGACAGCTGAGTAAGCACAGGTACAAATCATTTTAACAAAAGGTAACCAAATGACTTCCTGACAGCTGGCTTTTTGCTCGCACAACTTCAGATGGTTAGTAAAGCATTTACGTTACTGTGCAGATGTTATCTGGCACGAAGAAGGTGATCAATATACTTTAGTTTGAAATAATAATGATAAAGATTAAAATGCATATTAATTAAACACAGAAACAAAATTTCTATTTGTTTAGTATCAGTAACTTTTAATAGCAAAACTATGGTTTTAATTCATTAAAAGTCGAAATTATATTCAAAGAGTAATCAACGTAATTAAACTCATTCAATCCATTCACTACATTTAAAAATATTTTAGTCTACCTTCTTAAAAAGGTCTATTCAATAAAAAAAAAACTATTAAATTATGTTTAAGCTAAGTAAATGGAGATCCTTACAAAAAAAATTAGAATCTCATTAAATTGAAATGCGTCCTTTTTCAATAGACAATGTAGAAAATGTCTTTGTTAACTTTTGTCTACAAATTAGGAGACGGTTGGGAGCTTTTGCAGCAATTTGGGCAGAACATGAAGGTGACAACTAAAAGACAGGGATCGAGCGCAGGGAACATTTTCAGTAACTGTAACTGATTTGGAAGGTAAAACAAGGGAAGATCAAGAAGGGCTCTGAGGTAGTGTTAATAGAACTTTCTGTGATGATGGGGATGTTCTACATTTGTGCTATCCAACAGTCTCCACTAGTCACATATGGCTGCCAAGCACTTGAAGTGTGGCTAGTGCAACTGTGGAACTGAATTTTTAATTATATTTAATTTTAATTAATTTGAAGTCAAATAGCCACATATGACTTGTGGCTATCAAAACGACAGTGCAGCTCTAAGGTTGTAAATTTGGGAGACTGGGCAGATGGTGGTGGTACTAACTGAAATATCAGAGAGAGAAGGGGTAATGACTTAGGTAGGATGTTCAGTTTGGGGGAGTCTCAGATATCCAGAGTCATCCAAGTTGAAATGTCTGAAATCTGAAGCACAGATAAGAAAAGTGGGTCTAGGGAAGTAGATTAAAGACGAAATCATGAATAGGACTGATATTAAAGAGGTAAATGGAAGACCATGAAGGAAACTGAGGGATCAGTAAAAGGAAAATCAGAAAAGGATGGTTTCTAGAAAATGAAGATAGAGTTTCGAGAGAGTAATGTATCATTTGCACATAGGTGACATAAAAGAACTAAAAAATGTTTAGTAATTTCACAAAGATAAGTCATTAGTGATTTGTTTGGAGAAGGTTTAGTGGCTAAGGCAAAATCCAGACTGTAGTGTGTTCAGAATCAATGAAAACAGAGTAACAGATTGCAAAAATACAGCCTATCTTCTCCCAACCCCACTCTGGAAGGATGTAATGTCAATGGAGGTTGTAAACTGAGGGATGATGATATGATACAGAGGGGTAAAGAACAGTTTCGAATGAGTAACAGATGTTCAGTCATTAAATATTAAGCACTCGAGATTCCCTTCATAAACTCTACTGCTGTCTGCCTGAAACTTATCATAAAGGAAAATTATTTAAGGAGATAGTCCCCAGCTTCTAAATCACACTTTCCATAAGTTGTTCTAATACTTATCAGGCAATCTAGTTTACACTGGTATGCTGCTTAGCATGAGGAAACAACTAGAATCCAGCCAAGGTCCTATCATATGGTTACAAATTATATAATGTAGAACTTGAATAAATAAAGCTTTATTATTTGATAGTTTAAAACAAGAGTCACATATATATATATACATATATGCTAAAAGAATTAAAAGTGTCTCTACCTAAGAATTAGGGTAAAGTCTCATTTACATCTGGACAAGGGCTCTTTGCAGTTCATATGGACCACTATAATAACTTTACAGTTATCTAGGACATTCTTGGAATCTATGGTATAGGTATTAAGATGTTAAAATTTTAATTTGATTCATGCCACTTTCTCAAAGACAGCTTTTTCCTAGTCACTATTTCCATACATTTGTTAATTCTCTCAACAGATATTCACTGAGCACTTCCTCTGTTGGCGATATTATGGAATAAAGAGTTTCAGGAGAGTGATATATTAAATGTGAAGAGACCTGGTAAAATAAAAACTAAAAATATTCAACGAATTTTCCCAAAAGAAGTTACTGCTGACTTTGAAAAGCTTACAGGAAGCACATAGAATACCTTACCCTTTACAGGAGGTAGAGATGGGAGAACTCCTGATTGCCATTTCTGCCCATGGCATGAAATGGATAAATAAATAAAAATCCATATGACGTTTAAAGGTAAAAAAACTATAAGATACGTTACTGTTTCCCAAGAGCAGTACATAGTAAATACTGTAGTTCTGCAAAAACCTCACATAAAAGGAATGAAGAAAGTTTCCAACAAGACCACAAGAAGGCAATATTTAAGTAGAAGTAGACTTTTCTAAGTTTTTTTTTTTTTCTCTAAATCAGTAGAGAGGAGTATAGAAAAAGGTGTAATGGGTTAGAGAAGGGTGATCTTAGAAGGTACACTGGACCAAGTGATTCCTAAGGCCACTGCAGAATTACTTCCTCACCACAGCGAACCTGACTGCCATTCAGCAGTCAAGTCATACTGTACCTCTTCTAAGGCCTCTCTCTAATCTCCATTGTGGATTAAGAGATTTGCCTGGGTTTTCACTGCATCTACTCTATAGCACATAGTCATGTAAGTACTCAAGACTTTTTATAATTCAAATTTACGTTTGAAGTCAGAAATAAAAAAATATAAAATTTCCTTTTTAAAAATGTTAATCTATCCATGTCTTTTATCTCTGCTAAAATAACCTAGTTAAAGACCATCATTTTATACGCAGAGTGCTGCAAGAATTTTCTAGCTTGATCTTCCAGTATATATATTTGTGCCCATTCTCCACCCAGCAAAGTAATCGTTCTAAAATATAAATCAGTTTATTTTAACCTTTTTGTTTAAAACTATATACTGACTTCCTATGACTCTAAAATTCTATAATGGCTTTCAGTTGCTATAATGGCTTAGAAAACCTTGCATAATCAAGATCCTTTCTGCCCTCACCAATCTGTTCGGGCACCATTTTCCTCCCTAAGTCTCTGTCCTCCCATCTCAGTGGCCTTCTTTTGGTTATCTGAGTACAGCAGGTCCTCGAATAACGTTTCACTTAATGCTATTTCATTATAATGGTGATGTGATGCTATAGGAACTTAATTCTTGTTTACATCAATTAACCTATAAGTTTCAGTGTATGTCATTTTGCTTCAAGTTACAGAACCTATAGACATTAAGAGAGGACTTATTGTATACCTTGTTCCTTACAATATCAGGGTCTTTGCATATAATATATCCTCTACCTAGAACTCTCTTTTCCCCACTGCTAGCATGTAGCTAATACTCAAGTTCAATGTCTCTTCCTGAGGTTTCTCTGGCCCCACACAATGATTTCCATCATTTACCCCATACCTCTTTATAGTATTTATAAAAACTGTAATAAATGAAAAATTATATAATTATTTTATGTCTGTTTTGCTTGCTAGAATATGAAGTCCATGAGGTCAAGTAGTTTGTCTTCCTTGTTCACTGACTAGAAAAGTGGCTGGCACATAGAAAGGGTTTAATAAATATATGTTAAGTTGAATAAGTGACAGTAGGGCTGTGTGTTTTTTTAAATGCTGTCGCCTGAGAGGCAAAAAGTGTACCTGGCACAAACTAGGCACTTAATAAATGTTTAAGAATCTGATTGAGCATCACCTGAGCTAGAATTAATAACTCTCTGCCACTACAATCTTACCTTAAACTGTAACTCCTTAAATGAAAATAAAATAACTTGGAAAAAAGCAGCCAATCATATCTGAGATTATTTTAAAAGTATTTAAAATGGATGAAAAACATACCTTGAGAAATGCCCAGGCAATTTTCCGAAAGCCGCATTTTTTATATTGAATTTCAGAGTTATTCCTAATTTCATCTATGCTTAAGAAATCAAGAATCTGTAAATACACATTAAAAAATTACTTCACAGAAGACTAGGCTACCTAAAATTTAATATTTCCTAATATATTTTGATACTAAAAAATCACCTGTTTACTTAAAAAGTTTTCCTTATAGGGAGGAAAAACATTTTTATCTCATTTCATTCGCCTTTCATTCCTCCTGTTAGTGAAGGCCCAATGGCTGCCTAGTATTCTTCTGGATTATAATACCATAAATTTAATTTAACAAATCATAATTTATTTAACCAAACCTCCTACTGATAAACTGTCCCTAAAATTTTTGCTATGATAAATAGGGCTTAAATAAATATCCTTGCACATATATCTTTGTGCACTTGTCATTTTCCCTTAGGAGAATTACCCAGAAGTGCAATAACAGTTTTAAAGACTTCTGATAGAGTTTATTAAGTCGTTTTAAAGACTTCTGATAGAGTTTATTAAGTCGTCCTCAATAAACTCCTGAGAGGTTGAAATCAAAAAGTAGTAGACAATATTATATTAAAACTTAAGAAGCAACCAAATGTGTTTATAATCCAACAATCTTTCATAAATCTCATATTACTAAAAATATAAAAGAATATTATAGTAACTAAGGACAAATTTCTATGACAAAGAAAAAACTCCTTGACAAATTATTTCACTTTTTAAAAAAGTCATAGCTTCATATAAATCATACAATATAATTAGATGTGATTGGTAGAATATTTGTTTCATAAATACACATATATCACCTGAAAGTTAAGGATCATAAAAAGAAGTAACTCTACAAAAATCAATCATTGGTTCTGGTCATGCCTTGCTGTTCCCATGCTAAAATTCTCCATCTTGCTGAAACTGGAAGAGACATTTTCTCTACTTCTCTTTGCTTATGGAGAAATAACATGCAGTGAAAACAAAAATATAGGATTTTAGGTTTAAACTGGCTTCAAATAAAAAATATCTACACTTAAAATTGGACTAATGGGGAAAACCACTTTACACTCTGAGCCTTAATTTCTTTTGCAGTAAAAAATTAGAATAACATCAGCTCAAAGACTGTCTATACCATAAAATTTTCCTTGACTAGTCTGACTCTCCACTAACCCTTTATATCTAAAAAGTTCTACTTCATTTGGTTATATATTACACTGTATTAGTCAAGTGATCTGTGTATAGTCACCTTTATTTCTCTCAGTCTACAATCTTAGAGAATGTGATATAGATAAATGAGTTTACACTATGTGAAATAGGTTAAGAATGGAGGATTACATACAGATTAGATTCAACAGTTCAGTTAATAGCCACAGTACTGTTGTAAGAATTAAATAATACAGAGTAAATCGAATAGCTAACTACTTAGAAAAGTAAATGCTCAGCAAATATGCTATCACTTAATCTCTTGCTTGTATCTCCATTGTATCCTACAAACACTAAATCCTACAGATTAAATTCTCACAATACTTTGTTGTAATAATGAACTACTAAAAATAACAGCTTAAACTTGTGCTATGCAGTTGGCCCTCTGTATGTGCGGATTCCATGCACAGATTCAACCAACTGCAGATTACAAATATTTTTTAAAAATCCCAGAAAGTTCCAAAAAGCAAAACTTGAATTTGCCACGCAATGACCACTACGCTGAATCAACATGAATGATGTGATGTGTAGGCATACCCTGCTGTAGCCTATATGCAAACATAGGTTACAGACAAATACTGTGCCATTTTATGTGAGACTTGAACATCCACAGACTTTAATTTATGCAGGGGGTGCTGGAACCAATGCCCTGTGGATACTGAGGGATGACTATTAACTAAAATTTAATTTAAATTGCTCTATTCAATTCATACCTCGAAGAATAGGATGACTTTAGGGTTCTCATCAAGTTCTCGAAGCAAATAGGGAAAGTTTTCATTAAATATAATTTGCTCTTCCCACTCTGGAAGCTTTGATTTTAACTGTTTAAAATCATATGGCTGGGTCATAATAGGAAGAATATAATCCACATTGTCTTTTTCAAAGTAAGACGAAACAGGCCGTTCACTGTTCAAAAAAAGATATTTCCATTAACACAATTGTTTATAAGTTTGAGAATATGAGAAAAAAATATTCAAGGTGAGGCAACCAGAAACAATAGCCATGATACATAAGGAAAATTATAAATCTTACCAGACTTAAAAGTGGTAGTGCCTTACTTTTTGCATTTACATACTATCAGTTGGTTTCACAAGATTATTTTATTACAGATAATAAAAGTGAGAGGTCTGATTATACCTTCAGCATTTAGAGCTGAAAAAAGTAACTTTTCCAGAATCTTAAATGAGTTTGTCATAAAACAGTACAATCCACTTAAATAAAAAAATGTGGACAACAGAATTGTAAAACCTTCAATGTATATTATACATTATTTTTATGCCTTAAAATAACTGAATAACTGAATAACCTTTTTGATAATCTTCATGTTTTCCATTCCTGTCATCTTTCCAAGAAAATAATTTTTTGGATTCTAGTACAGTCATTTATTTTACTGTACTTTTTATTTGGGCCTTCAAGCATGTATTAGCTATAGAAGTAATATTTAAAAAATTTAAATTCAAGATTCATTTATCTCACCTGATAACATATTAATTTCAAAACAAAAATGTGAAGATAGACAACTAATGCATTTACAATAAGATGATTTACAATGGGTGATAAATACCTACTAGTAAACTGTTCTCCAATACACATTCATAGTCCTATTCATATTGACTTTCAATGGCAGTAAACACTTCTACTGTAGACGGTTTCAATTTCAAGGGTTGGCTGTACAATTAAAAAAAAAATTACCTATCATCTTTCTTGACATATTGACCAGTATTCTCATCAACCACATGAATTTTTACCATCGGGTGAGAAATCATAAAATCTGACTTAAGTCGATCAGTTCGGTGAATGTAAACTCCCAGGAAAAGGTCGTCATCAAGCAAACATTTGGGATAAACTGGACTATCTCGACTTGTTATTTCATGAACACCATCATCACCATTAGTGTCTTCATTATCATCTGAAACAATAAGCATGGAAGAAAATCAACTTTATACCTAATTGTTCCCATAACAATATATTCAATAATATATGTTGAATTTTCATGTAACATAATCTTTTAATGCATGATCATTTGTCTTTGTTAACAAAGAAACTTCAAGAAAAAGAAAAAAAAACAGATGATAGCAGACTATATTCTTGAGAGTAAAACACTGTATTTACTAATGTATTAAAATAGGGTAAGGAATCTTTCTTATTTTTCCTAACAAAGACCAGCAACAAAAAAGGAAAAGATCAGAGATAAAAGTAATTTTATCTAGGTAATTTATAAGTGGAATAGATGTCACTCAATTCATTTATAACTATAATTTCTGCTTCTGGGTAGGACGTAGCGGAATGTAAAGATCAATGCTTCTGGTAATAACAACTTGAAAAGCCAAAAGAATTACAAAAAAACTTTATTTTTAAAGGCATCAGAAAAGTACAGAAACAATGTGTAGCAGATGGACTAAAATACCAGAAAGGAAGAAACATTGAGAGGTAAGCACATGGACTGGTAGCTGTTATAGTCTCTGGGGACATTTGCTGATTCACAGTGTGAGCTGAAGACCAAGTTTCAGACTATGCAAAAGGTCATTATTGGGAGAAAGAATAACCAGCAAAACTTTTAGTGGTTGCATGAGGCTATAAAGATAAAGTTGTAGATTTGAGGGGCCTCAAACACATGGCTGATTTTTCTCACAAAACTGAATTCTGAGGCTACACGAGAGGCTAAAAGGAGTGAAATCTCCCAGTGTTTTGGTACCTGGAAACAATGACCCACCGGGGGAGGAGCCTGAAACAAAAACAGGTATAGCTAAAGCTCTAGAGCGCGTGGTCAATTTATACCTACAGCCACTTTTCACCTGGGGTCACTTACCAATTCTGGGTGCAGCTAGAGGTTGAGAATCCTGTCGTGGCTCCTGGCAGAAGGCCCCTACTGGGGGACAGAGAAACCAGCAGAGACTTTGATCTTCACATGGTGTTGGAGTGACAAAATTGGAGACTTAAAGGGCCTCAAACACATGGCCAGTCTCCCCTTCAAGACATCTGCCAAATTTTGACGTTTCATGGGACAGAAGGCTAAAGGATTAGGCTGAAAACCTCTGAAAGGCAAATCTGAATCTCTCAGTCTTTTAGGGCTGAAGAGACAACCATTTGCCAGGCTCTCAATTTCAAACACCTGGAAGGCCGCATCCTAGGAATAGGGTCGATCAGACATATAACTTTATCAAAACTGTAGCCCAGCCCTAACCTAGCTCAATTCCTCACTGGTTGAAATCAGTTGCCTACCCTATTTGCCTAAGAGAATAAAGAGGAAACCTTCTCTAGTGGAAGATAAAATCATCTGGAGACTCAAGGTTTCTATATGCAATGTCTAACGTCTAACATACAATAAAAAGTTACTAGACATAACAGAGACAAGACTATATGACCAATAACGAAGAGAAAAAAAAAACACAGAAAACAAAGCAGACCCACAGATGATCTCGACTGGATTAGCACACAAGGACTTTAAATAACTATGATTAACTTACTCAAGAAAACAAAGGGAAAGATGGACAAAATAATTTTTAAAAGCAAAGACTTTCTACAGAGATTTGAAATCCATGAAAAAAAGGTAATCTGGAACTGAAAAATACAATGCCTGAAATTAAACTCAATAATGTCTAACAGCATACTATATACAAAGGAAGGCATGTTTAGTGAACCAGAAGATCAAAACAAATACCCAAACTGAAGTACAATGGGGAAAAAAGAACAAGGTAGGAAAAAACTTAAACCTGTGGACACACTCAAGAGAAATAACATGTGAAATTATAATCTACAAGAGCACAGAACGGTGAAGCTATATTAAAAAATAATAACGGCCGAGAATTTTCCACAACTAAGAACATCGACCAGTAAATTCTAAGCAGGGTAAATTTTAACAAAACCATATTTAGGCATAGCAATGATGAAACACTGAAATCAAAGACAAAAAGATAAAGAGCAGCCACAGGAAAAAAAAGACATAATCCCTTCAAAGAGACACAAATGAGAATGGTGCTGGGAACAGAAATGATGGAAACCAGAAGACAATTCCATGATTTCTTTAAAGTACTAAAAGAAAATAATCTGCAACCTAAAATTCCATATTAGCAAATATGCTTCAAAAATGAAGGTAATTTAACATAACAAAATCCAAGGGGATTAGAAGGCCTATACTAACAGAAATACTAAATGGTTTTTCAAGCAGATGAAAAATGTAATTTCATTAAGGAAAAACCTAAATTTGGGGGTGTACCAGCTGTACAAAATGGTAACCATCGTATCTGTGAAGTTTAAAATATATGTAGAACTAAAATACATGATAAGGCAGGAGACAGATGCAGAAAAAACACTGATAAAATTAAATTATTGTAATAGAATGTTTCTTGTCACAGAAAGCACATATCATTGGGGAAAAAAAGGATAAATTAAGCTATACAAAATTTAAAAATTCTATTTTTCAAACGATACCAATAAGAGAAAAATAAAACACAGCGTGGAAGGATATTTGCAATATATATGTGCGTATACGTATTTATATTTGAGAAAAGATGGTGTCTATGTAAAATAGTCTCACAAATTAATCAGAAAAAGACGATTACATTTCTTAAAAAAATACACTTCAACAAATGTACAAATGAAGAAATCCAAGTAGTCAATAAACACAATGTTCAATTTCACTAGTTATCATGGAAATTAAAGTTAAAATGCAATACACACCTAAGTATGACTAAAATTTTTAAATACTGATGACATAAATTTTAGTGAAGATGTAGAGCAATGGAAGCTCTCAAATACTGCCAGTGTCAATTGGTAAACCAATTCTCAAAAATGGGAAGTACCTATTAATGTGAAAAACACACATACTCTATAACATAGTAACTCCACCCCTAAGAGTATGCCCAACAAAAATGTATACATGTGCTTGCCAAAAGATGTGACTAGAATATTCATTACAGCTTTATCTGTAATCGCCTAAAACTAGAAACAAGTCAAATGTCCATCAATACAAAAGTAGGTAAATTAATTGTTGTATATTTATACAATGGATATTCATACAGTACAAAAATGGAACTGATAAGCTTGACTGTATGCAATTGTATAAATCTCACAAAAAAAATAATTTTGAGTGAAAAAAGCCAGCCACAAAAGAACACAGCATTTATGATTCCATTTACATTAAAGTAAAAAGCTGGCAAAAATAAACTTTGTGTTAAATGTCAAGACAATATGTACTCCTGAAGGGCAATGAACTAGAACGGGACTTGAGAGAGCTTCTGGGTGCTAATGATGTTGTTTCTTGATTTGGATGATGATTTTATGGGTATGTTCAGTTTGTGAAGATTCACTAAGTAATATACTTATAATATATAAACTTGTCTATATGTATACTTCAAAAACTCTTTAAAAATTTAATTACAGGAACCACAAAACATCATCAATTTCATCATCCAATGAATAAGTACCATAAATTCTAAAATTTATTATATTAGTCCCAATTTTTGGCCACTTAAGTGGAAATTGAAAAGAAAAAAGGAGGTAAGAAGTAGGAAAAAGGCAAGAATAAGAAAAATAAGAGAAAAGACATAAGTCAAGAGGGAAAAAGGAAAAGTGGGAAGAAAGGACACAAGCTGATTTAGGCCGAGGAACTGGGAGGGCACCACGTCCGACAGAGGCATGCAGCTATAATGTCTGACATGTTTACTGGCTGTTGACAGTTTATAGCTTTCAATGACTATGAGTCTAAATTATTTAGGGTCTCTAAACTCAAAGGTACAAAAAGAAGTATTCTATGCTACAATTGCAACCACAAAGTTAATGTCATTCTAGAATTTAATTAAGTCAGGAATTAGTCAAGCACTATTAACTTATCACAGACACAGTTAATAGTCAAGCACTATTAACTTATCACAGACACAGTCACAAATGAATGAATGTTTTAATTTAAATGATTCCAAAAACAAGTATCGAATGTTCCATATTGGATTTTTTTTCGATTATATTCTTTGGGATGATATTTTCTTTAGTTTTAAGGGCAAAAAGTCTTAGATTCAAGTTATTTCTACCAAGGAATACATTTTTTATTTAATATGAATAACAAACCTGCTTTAGGCTTCTTTTTCTTTTTTTTTGATTTGGATTTTGTGTCATCTTGCATGCTGTCGTCTATGTTTTGTTTCACTGAAGTTATTTCATCATTTTGATGACAATCTAAAGTAACTGTTCCAACTGGACTTTCCTTCTTTGGTTCACCTTCAACTGGGTGATCAGAGACGGGTAATGTACTGCAAATACATCCCAAGTACACATCATTACAAATACATTATATTATTATTATTATTATTATTATTATTATTATTCATGGTGCAGCAAAGTGAACAGTGAATAGAGGCAAGGATAATCTTAAATTCGTTATTATTTCCAGCTAGGAGATACATGTTTTCTTTTGCACTAAAATGGTTAGCTGTCAAACTAGGTATTTTGGGTATTACTTTATATTTGGTGATGAGTTATATACATGAGCCAAATTAAACTGAGCTCTAAACTCTGCATAAAAATGAAATTGTATTTTATGTGCAATTGATCTGTTTATACATAGGATCGATCAAAGCATCCTCACTCCGTTACCAAGTAAATGATTAATGAACAAATTTCTAAATTATGTAAAATGTGTTGTTCCAAGTTTGTTCTGTTTTCGAAAGATTTCAGATAGTCAATCTTTGCTTTCTAGGTAAAAATTAATTGCTTGTGTTTTCCAGTGCCTGGTGTGTCACTACATTTTCAGGAGACTATTATTAAAATTAAAATCTGCATCACATTAACTAATAAATAGTAAACGGTAACATCTCAGAAGCATACTTGAGTTGTAGCAAGAAACCAGACTATTAAAGTTTTTTGTAATTTATCAAGCAAAAAATCTGCATCTAAATAATCAAAAATTGACTTCCAATATAAAGTCAAATTTTACAAAAAGAGGTTGAGAAATAAAGATTAGAGAAATATTTCAAATTAGTCATTCTAGAAAGCCATGCTATTTTATCATCAAATACTATTATTTAAAGAGAATACCCTTTGCATGTCACTTGTGTAAGCCATGGTTTCATTTAAAATTCATGAGCTTACCAGTTCATTAAATATATGGTAGCTATGAGCATGTGAGCAGAGGATTTAAAAAAAACTGTGGTGAAGAGACTCTAAAATGGCCCCCAATAATCCTCATCTCCAAATATTCATAGCTTTGTGTAAACCCTTCCCTTGATTGTAGGATGGACCTAGTGACCCACTTCTAAAAGCAGACTATGACAAAAGTAATGGATGCCACTAGCAAGATTAGGTTCCAAAAAGACTATCATCCATCCCTCCCTTCCTCTCTCCCTCCCTCTCCACTTCTCTCATCTCCATCTCCATCTTGTGCACGTGCGCGCTCTCTCTCTCAGCCCTCAGTCTGGGGAAGCAACTAACTACCCACTGTTGTGAGTAGCCCACATGGACGTCTGCATTGCAAGAAATGATGTCCCTAGCCAAAAGCCATTCAGGACCTGAGCCCTGCCAACAGTCACACGAGTGAGCTTAGAAATGGATCTTTCAAGCCTTCCAACAGCAATGCCACCTGACAGATCTTCCTTCCGCCAAGCCTTGCGATGACTGCAGCACCAGGTGACATCCTAATTGTAGCCCGTGACAGACTCTTAGTCAGAGGCACCCGGCTAAGCTACACCCAGATTCCTGATCCACAAAAATTACAAGAAAATAAATGTTTGTTGTTTAGGAGTAATTTTTTATGCAGCGACAGTCAACTAATAAATATAATAACATGTCCTTGTAGCAACTCTATGTGCCTTCGCTTTGTTACCACTAGCTGTCAAGCTTTTGATAAAAGGAGAATTATTTTTAGATGAGGGTGTTAGGGAAAACTGCCTCTGTATGATAGTCGAATACAGAATGTCCCCACCTCAAGTTGTTTACTTCAATATAGATTAGAGAAAACAAATTATGGTAGTTAAAGGACATTTTTTATTTTATTTTCCCTAAGCAGAGCATATTGAATATGTGCACAGAAGCTAACATTGTATATGCATGCACATATATACATACATGAACATGTAAACAAAAGCACGTATACACACGTACATAGCATCATATACAGAAAAGACTAGAATACCAAGTCGCTAATAGTGATTATCTCTGGATGATTAGATTGCTTTTATTCTTTGTGTCTGTATGTACTATAATGAGCAAATGTTATTGGTATAAGGGAAAATGCTATATTCACATATCCAAACAGGCATTTATAATTCAACAAAAGGGGGAGTAATTAGGTTTCTATTATTTAAAAAGCAGATGTGAATAATTAACGGAAAAGACTTTTGAGCAAGACTGCCAAGGTTTGGGCTCAGCTTCTTAAATGGTTCTGCAACATAAACCCTTCAGTTTCCTCATCTACAAAAGACAATATTCCTCATAGGGTTGTTATGAAGAATAAATGTGTCAATTCTTATAAAGTGCTCCATAAAGGTTAGCTGTGATTATTGCACTGGCAATGAAACTCTAAGTCCAAATGAAACTCTAAGAATTTTCTTTGTGATACAGATATCAGTCAAAAACTGAAAAATAAGTTTTTTAAGAGAACATTTTACATTTATCAATGTAAAGTACCTTGTTTCAGTGTTAGACGGGATTGGAACTTTCTTTTTTTTCTTTTTTCTTTTTTCACTGCTCAGTTTGTCATCATGCAAGGAAGTATCTGAGGGAAAATAAATCAACTGTTCTTTGAGTTTCTTTCTTATTTTCTTCTTAATCTCCTTTGCCATTTCTTCAGCTACCTGGGACTGGTATACTTGCTTCAGTTCTTCTTCCTCATCTAAATTATTTTCTTCTTCTTCATTTGCTTTTTCACTTTTCTGATGAGCAACATCTGGATGTGATATCTCTATTTTCTTCTCAGGAGTTTCCAGTCCCATTTCTTGGCACATTGTTTTTATAACCTTCTTATTTGCCTTTTCTTGCTTGTCCTCCTCTACGCTAATATCATCGTCTGGGTTTTCAGCTGTTGACTGTGGACTGCTTGGTTTGTTTTTAGTGACTGGCATGCTCTTTTCGGGGTTATTAGTGTTAGCAGTAATTACTTTACTTGTAGTTTCTTTAATTTTCTGAAGATTGCTTCTAACAGTGTCAAGCTAGAAAAAGAAGACACAATGACAACGTTTCAGCTAAGTATAGTTTAGTTATGCAGAAATAAAGCACAATAACTAGTTGTTTGACAATGTGTAATATTGGGCGGATTATTTCATTTTTTACTTGAACACAGTGAAATTCTAGAGCATCTGATAAGCACTCTCCTAGTTTATTCTTCCAGCATGAGATCAGTAATCCCTGAGAGTAACTTGAGATAAAATGGGTTAATTAACATGTGAAAAAGTACTTAATGACTTTAAAAAAGTTAATTTATTGCTCAAATCTCAAATGCCATTTTCCTCTTTGGGAGAATGATCCATACTTTAAGTAAGATATATTTGAGAAACTCGTAAGAGCCACTGAGCTAAAAGCACTTCAGGTTCCCCAACAGAAAGCACACACAGATCATTTATTTTGCTTCATAATTACATTCTAAAACCAAAGGTCTATAGCTCTAGAATCACCCCACCATTACTCCAAATGCATCACTGAAAATACTGCTAAGTGTTAAATATTATCAAGTTAAATCAAATGACAGACTAAGCACATATCTGTACCTTTCTCCAATCAAAATTATTTAGAGATATTTTAATGGGTTTATTTTTACATGTTCTGTTTGTAGAAGCAATGTTTCCTTTAAAACAGTAAGAAAACAAAAAAATTAAGATACAAAAAAATAGAAAATATTTAACAAAGAAAACAACACCCAAAGCTCAACCCTGGTTGCCTCACTTGAGGAAAATCATTGCTAATCTTTTCAGAAACTTATTTTTGTCTTTTTTCTGTGTATATAATCATACTTAATAACCTTCAATTTCTATTATGTTAAAATGGGGCATATGTAAATTTTTTTCTCAGTGAGTACCAAAAATGTAGTGGTGATATTATACAAATTGGGAAGAAACTCCGGAAGGAAATAACTAGAAAAAGATAATCAAGAATTAGAAATAGAAAAATGAATTATGTTCTAGAAGATTTAAAAAATGAAACACCTGCAAAGCTAATCATAAGCGGCTCAGTTTTTTATTTATTTACTCTTCCACTGATTTGTCATATTTTGTACTAATAACATCATTTCAATTTTATGACTTTATATTCGTTATTCATCTGCTTTTGTTTTATTCAATTAACTTTTAAAACCATTTCAATAAATACAATTCCCAAAGTATCTGTGGCAGCATCTCATAAGTTCCGTAGTGCTGTACTGATATTTTCATTACATTTTAAAAGATTCTGTTTTTGTGGTTTTGATTTTCTTGATAACAGTTTTATGGGAATAATTTTAAGATTTCCAAGTAGTTTACAAATTTTAAATTTTTATTATAAGTTTCTAGTTTTATTGTACTATCACAAAAAAGTTCTACTTTATGAAACTTAACAGGCTTGTGGATTAGATCATGACTGAATTGTGAAGTGTCCCAAATGTTTTATTATACCTTTGCCCATCCTTTTATCTTTACCTTCCATGCATCATTTAGGATTGTGGCTTAGTTGGTTGTTTAAATCAGCTATACTGATATAGAACTTACATACAATAAAATTCACTAATAGTAAATGTTCATTAAATGCATTTTGGCAAATGCGTACAGACAGGTGACCATCACCATCATAATTTTAAACATTTCCATCAACCCACATTTCTTTTATAAAGTCGACCCCTACCCCACCCCCCACCACCTCCTGAGCCTTGGCCACACTCAACCACTGATTAGCTACCACTATAATATTGTCTAGAATTTCATATAAATAGAATCATCCAGTATATAGCCTTTTGTGTCTGGTTTTCTTCACTCAGCATACAGCTTTGAATGTACTGCATATACAGTAGTTTATTCCTTTTTATTGCTAAGCTGTATTGCATTATGTGGATACACCTACATTTTATTTCTTCACACACCAATTAATGGACATCTGAGTTATTTCTACTTTTACACTGTTAAATAATTTCATTTCTCTTGAGTAAATACTCACAAATGGAAATACTGTGCTATATAGTAAGAAGATGTTTAATTTCTTAGATAACTGCCAGACTGCTTCCCAAAGTGGTTATACCATTTTGCATTCCCAAATGTATGAGTTCCAGGGTTTTTTAAAGGCATTATCTTATTTTCAAAGCTTATTTGATAAAACCCAATGTGGCAACCATTAGGTTGTTCTCTGTGTCTGAGTCTGTTTCTGTTTTGTTTGTTCTTTCGTTTTAGTCCTTTATATTCCACATGTAAGTGAATCATATGGAATTTGTTTTTCTGTCTGATTTAAATAATACTCTTTATGTTCATCCATGTTGTTGCAAATGGTGAAGATTTCATTTTTTTATGGCCCAGTAATATTCCATTGTATGTCCATACTGCATCTTCTTTAGCCAATCATCTATTGATGGGCACTTAGGTTGCTTCCCTATCTTGCTACTATAAATAATGCTGCAGTGAACATAGGGATGCACATGTCTTTTCAAATTAGTGTTTTGGGTTTCTTCGAAAAAATAGCTGGAAGTGGAATTGCTGGGTCGTTGTCTCTTGTTATAGCTTTTGTTTTAAAGCCTATTTTGTCTAAATATTGATATACCAGCTCTTTTGGTTTCAATTTGCGTGAAATTATCTTTTTCAATTCCTTTACTTCCAGTCTGTATCTTTCGATCTGAAATGGGTTTCTTGAAGTATATGTATGGATCTTGTTTTCTTATCCACTTGGCCAACTCTATGTCTTTAATAGAAATAACCATCAATTTTATTAAATCATGAATAATTTAAGCAGTCTACAATCATAAACTTTATTCTCTATGATATGGGGCATGATGTCCAGAGACCACTGGCAAATCCAAAATCCTCTGACAAAAGTTAAACGGGGATAG